CCTGCAGCTGAGCAGAATCGGCCGCTTTCTGGTGGGACAATGAGCAGAAGCCCAAGACAAGCAGAATCATCCTGGGTTTGGGGATGTTGAGAGTCGTTGAAGCTGAGCAGTGGTTTTTTTCGTGCGTTTCTTTTTCAGCCCCTCCTCCGATGGTGGGACAGTTTTTCGTCAACTGGTCCCCAAAACAAACACTCCCAAGCAAGAGTGGCGTAGAATCTAGATGAATAAAGAACCAGACAAGGATGGTAAAACCATGTAACACCTCAATCCTGAGGGGGGTTGAAATATCATCAGTCTATCTGGCATAGATCCGCATGTCACGCTGTGACCGTGCATCTTCTCGCCGTCAAGGCCTATCAAGCCTTGACGGAGATCGCCCGCAGTCGATCCTGTGAGCTTTGGCCCTGGACCCCGCGACTCGGAGATTGCCCCGACTCGGGGAGTGGGGAAGAGAGCACGGAAACGGATCTGAAGTGCTAGATCAACGGGCACCTGAAGTGTGTTTTTTGGTGTGTTTCAAGCGTCCTTCTTCGGGTTTCTGTCGAGAGGGCTAGAATCAGTTGGGTGTTCTCTCATTTTTGGATTGTGTCCAAACTTGAAGTCTGACAATTCTTCAGTCCTTCTTCATTTTCACCCTCATTGCCCTTTCCCGCCCGAGGCAGTGGGAGGAAGGGGACTTTTGGAACTTTCGACTGGAGGACTTGCTTGGCGGAATCCACAATCCACACCGCTGGAAACCGGCATGGCATTTCCTCCACACCGCTTGACATTGGCATGTTGTCTTCGATCTGCAGGACTTGAAAGCTCTGTTGCAAAAGTGCCACAACATGGGCAAGGTCCTGAAGATGCTTTGCTCAACATTATGGTGGCAGGGTGCCGGGGTGACCTATGTCCGAGCAGGTGAAGGGATGGCCATGTGTGGGGTTATTCCTGGGTGAAGAATCTTATGGATTGGACGTGTCCTAGAGGGTGTCCTGATATATTCCATTATATTCCTGTAACAGTCAGTATCAGCAACTGTCACATACCGTCACTATTTTAGAGAAAGGCATTTACTAACCATCATTTTCCACCGTTATATACTGGTATTGGGATATACCCAACTTATGGACGCTTCAGAACGAAATTATAGTTTAGGTATATAGAGTATATACATGTAGGGAAGGGAATTGGGCAACTGGCGGGCTGGGAGGTGTTGGTAATTTCTCCTGAGCATTCACGAATAATTACACTCACAAAAGAACTGGTCATGTGGGTGAGTGAATTCAAAAAACTTCCCTTTGGGAAGTCCAAGCCGCTTTCAAATTGTGTCTCCAAATCTGCAGTTCGACGTAGTTTGACCATGTTTGGTATACAGTAGTTTGATTCACCTTTGCTTGTCAAGATTGTTGTCAAGTCAATGGACTGGAAACTGCCAGGCAAATAGGTCAGGTAGTAGGGCAGGTCTATTGACACCGTATTGTGGATCTTCTGTGGGCTCTCAGAGAAGTATGGCTCCCGAGGGGCAAGAGGTTCATGTTTGAGGACCTCACTGATTCTTACAAACCTTCTTGGTCATGTGCTGATTGAATGATTGATTCTCATGTTTTAATTCCGGCAGCTAAGGATGTTGATCATCAACTCGCCGCACAATCCGACAGGACACCCCTCAATTCACCTTCTCATGCGTTGATCTCGTAATTCTTTCAACTCGCTCCCCATGAGTTGCACTAGCAGAATGGCATCCAAGACCTAGTCTATAGCTCTGCGAAACGAATGAGTCTTCACACGCTTTCGTCACGCTGCACGTTCCAAACCGTAGATGCGTTGACGTGTCACTGCTCGATGTGCTGACTGTTGGCTGTGCACGGAGATGCTGTGCGAAGAGCCTGGAATAAAGTGGACCCCAAGGAGACACCATAGATAGCATATGATTCGATAGCATTGCACCCCATGTGCGGATCAGGCCAGCCCGTCGCAAGAACAGGAGTGGTGTTCAATCAGAGCGATTTGGACCAGATCTTTCAGTGGTTGGAGGACCTACAGCAAGAGGAGATGCCCATTCTTTTCTCAGATGAGATTCTTGGCTTTGGAGCGCATGCTTCTGTGTTTTTGGAGGGTTTGCCCAATCGGTTGATGGATTGCTTGGACCTCTACCATCGCAACTTGCTTGGCTCATCTCGACAAAACAAACCGCAATACGGACCAAACCATTCAGGCACCCGGGGTCAGGCAAACACTATAAAGGAACTTTCAGGTTAGATGGTTCTTTCATTCTAGTTGGTTCTTTGATCAGAACCATGAACAAAGTGGAGAGGAAGAAAGAAAGAGATAGCAAGACAGACAAAGCATGCACATAAAGAGAGAAGCAACTAAAGAGAGCGAGAGAGAGAGAGAAAAAAAAACAAACAAACAAAGAGATAGATAGTAATAGACAGACAGACAGATAGTGGATGGATGGATGGATGGATGGGCCGACAGACAGACAGACAGACAGACAGACAGACAGACAGAATAGAATAATAGAATAGAAAGATAGATAGTAGATAGATAGGTAGACATACATAAATATATATATATTGACAAACAGAATAGGATAGAACAAATCAGCATAGAAAAAAACATAGAAGATAGATAGATAATAGATAAACAGTAGACAGACAGACAGGCAGGCAGGTAGACAGACAGACAGACAGACAACAGATAGATGGATGGATGGATGGATGGATAGATAGATAGACAGACAGAGCGACAGACAAATAAAGAGATAGAGAGAAGAAAGGGAGATGTAAAAGAGATGGGGAACACCGGGGGGGAAAGCTGGGAGCTGTTGCTGGACTTGCTGCTCACTCCACATCCTGGAGCACAACCGGTGCGCCCGCTCAGAGTTGTGAGTTTTTTTTTCAAACCCAGCAGCCTTGCATGTTTTGGTTTGCTGTCGTGAAACTGGATCACTTGTCATCCTTGAAACCGGCCGCAATGGCCTTTGTGTGAGACCAAAAAGCCTGTGAATCAGGTGAAATATATCTCCAATATGGGGAGCCGTCGCTGCGTTTGAAGCCATCGACCTTGGCTAGAAACTTTTACTGTAACTCAAAACGTGAAGGGTCCAAAAGAAAGAAAGAAAGGCAGGGTAGAGCCATCAATTGCCGGCAAAGAGAACACTCTTTTTTTAGCTAGTTCTCAACATTAATTCATTCAAGCAACCTGCCAACCGGAAGATGTGACGTAGCTGGTCTCTCCCGTCTTCAACCGTTTGCTGTTTGAGGTGGCTGATTCTTTCGCATGGCTGACTGTTGCAGGTGTTGTTTCCTTTGTCTGATCGTTCAAGTTCGCGCTTGGCCTCTTCATGGACATTCGCTGCTTTGTTGGTGTCTTGTTGGGCTCTGATTGGATGGGCATTGGGATTGCCTGCGCCCTTGCCTGTGGGCTTGCTTCTGGGCTTGCTTTTGGGCTTGCTTTTGGTGTTGCCTCTGCTCTGGTTGCAGGCTTCTTCTGAACAGGCTCTTGGCTAGGGGCGGTAGGCTCTGCTTTCTTTCTGCCCCCTCTCCCTCGTCCCCGTCCCCGGCCCTTTTCCTTTGCTGCTGTTGCTATGTTTGCTGGTTCTACTGGCGGAGACTCTGAGAAAATCTCTGGCTTTTCACTGCTGCCCGTTGGTGGTGGGCTAGGGCTAGGTCCAGTGGTACTGTTCTTTGGTGGGCTTGGTGACGCTGTTTTGCTTGGTGGCTGACTTTTGGGAAGCTGGATGGGAACCGTCGCCTTCCCTAAAGTAGCGGCTTTAGTGGTTGCGGTTTCTGATGGCCGCCTATTCATAATACCATCGCGAAGATGCCCTGCAATGTCAACATTGAAGTTGAACTGCATGAGTCGCTGGGGGAAAACATATAGCAAGACTTGGGCCCAAACCTTTGTGTAGGCATATGTGTGCCACAAGCTAATCTTGCCACAAGTTAACTAGGAGTGGCAGATGCAAGTGATGCAAGCTTATTTTTTCTTCAGCTTGAGCTCAATGTGTTGCCATCCCTGCCACGTGAGCAAGGTACTTCCAGCAATTCAGAGCTCTACTACCACCGTGGGCCAGTCGTGAGACCCAGCGTGAACAGAAAAGAAGGGAGGGATCCAAGACACCATGAGAATCACACAGTAGTTCACACAATATATGACAAGAAGAATCCAGTTCTTTCTTGGTTTAGTTAATTATTGTAACTATAGTTAATTGATAAGCAAAAACGATAGCTGTCCGTCTCCCTCACGAATCCTCTACTTGAAACAGACCGTGACCGTGGCACTGCCCCCCAACATTCGGCAGTCAGTCACATACTCGCACCTGGCTGAATCTCATCAGCCCACAACCTGACAGAACGCTGCCGAGCAATGGTAGGGAATAATGACAGTGTATCATAAATATTGTACAATGCCTGTGTCATTTCAAATGAGACCTGATATTCCATATGTGTTCAAAAGCAGCCACCGCTAAGTCCATATTTCAAGAACATATGGAGGATCAAAGATCGCTTGTGTGTTTTGCTTTGACTCTTGTGTGTTTTGCTGATAGTAAGGCAACAACTCTGTCAAACAAGTCTATTTATTTATCCAGTTCAATTGTTGCCCAACTCCACCGCAACACACTTAAAGAGCCTGTAAGGCTTGGAACCTCTTGAATGGAGCTCCTAAAGGTTCATTGATCGGATTGTGGAGTCTTTGGACATCAAAAACAATACAGAATAAAACACAGAGTCAAGTGAATTTCACAATTGCAAGCGGCCCTGGCCTTAACAGGTTTCCCTTTGCTAAGCTCGATGGTGGTCAACGCATGGACGTATGGCTTTTGCACTTTGATGTTGTTGCCAACCCGCTCATAGCGAAACCGGAATACTGGGCCCACGTAGCTAGAGAACTGCACTCCCTGGATTCGCTGGCTAAAGAAGTTTTTGCAGCTTTTTGCAGTGGTCCCGCGCTCTCCAATCGTCTTGTAGACCTTTTTCTCCTTCACAGTGACCGCAAAGCTGTCAAGACCAGCTTCAGAGGCTTCTGAGCGCTTCACATCTAAGAAGGGCATCTAAGAAGGACATGTTCACCGCTGCAAGCTTTTTTGCTTTTTCCACTGTCACGATCAGCTTGTAGAGGGTCATGGTCTCCACATTGGAGGAATCTGGCTTCAAAGAGCATTCATCAAATTGGACCAGCTCCTGATCCCCTGTTGGAAACTCGTATGGGACCCCTTCACCAGCATCGGCGTTCACATATTGCCCGGTGCCGTAGCCGCCCAATTGAGCTCGCTTTGGGATCGTTTTGTCTTTTGAAGCAAGGAGGTACACAGCCCCTGAAGAACCCGCTACGAGTTCCACACCTGCCACTTCAGACATCACCCTTTCAGAAATGGTATCCTGTTTCTCAAGCTCTTCAAGGCTAGGCCACACTGGAGGGGCGGCAATCCCGGAATCACCAGAAGTGGCTTCGGGGCGCTCCGTAGCCACAATCTCCTTGGAGGAATCTTTCACTGGAGTCAGAACGCTTCCCAGACCTAAGTGACAACTTGACAAAGCGTTCCACAAAATATATTTAAATCAAAATACTGTTGGGAAAATATCAAGCTCCCTTGAAAAAGAACCCACTAACACAGTCGGTGTGCAGAACAAATGTGACATTAAATGTCAAAGTCAGTATCAAATGAACCATTTTCAGGAGCATCTGGAATCATTCCCATTCATTTTTGTAAAAAGCCCTTGGCAACGTCCTCTTAATTTTAACTAATTGCCTCTACTTAAGCACACAAATATGCACACATGGTGAATAGTAGACAACAGACCCATCATTCAAGACCAAAGGGCACTCCATAAAGTTCTGTCGGTGGTGACTTTCCAGGGACTCAAAGTCAGCTGCAAGCCCATCGCCCTGGACCTGCCAGAAGCGGGCCTCATCAGGTTTGATGATGATCTTGGTACCATCCCTGACCAGGACTTCCAACTTGAGTTGGTCAATCGCCCCTGCGGCGACCTTTGCCCCAGGAATCTTTGCAATATCCTCCTCTGGCAAGGTGGGAGGGTCCTTCTGGAACTTCGCACCGGCCAAATCAGCCTTGCCATCCAGCCAAGCATCGCTGAGTTCACGCAAGATGCGGGCTGCACCAAATTCAGGCGAGTCCAAAAAGTGCAAGGAGAGGTAATGCAGCCGGTCCTTGAAGCTACACTGGCCGCCAGTAGCCGCAGCTGTCTTCAGGTCAAAGACCTCGCAAAAGAATCTAATTAGGTCAGCCGTCGCCCGCCAATGCTACAAAGCAAAATTTCCCCAAGCACTGACAACACAAAAAATCAATCAATCACCTAGAAACGCTCACCCCACAGTCTTCAACGTAGCCAGTCAAGTTGACCAAAAGGACTGGGCCCGGCGGTGACCACTCGCTCAACTTGAAGAGGCTGCCCCACATTGCGTTCATTTTCTCGCGGCCCTTTTGAGCTGAGACCTGCTCTGGGCTCGGTCGGGTCCGATCGGCCAAGCGCAAGTCATCGTCTGCTGAAACTGATTCTGGGAGAAGCAAATCTCTTTGCCTTGGCAAGTAGATCGTATCGGTAGAGAGTGGTCTCCCTGCGATGGATAGCTCACTCGAATTGAGCCACTTGTTGGTGTCGGCATTGGCACTGGATACCACAAGGCGGCCCGTGGACCAACGCCTGGAGAGAAAAGATTGAATTCCAAGCAAGTTGATGAACGTGTCTACTACCGTTTCATGGGAAACAAAACCTTCAAACATGTGCATTGAAGTTTGGCAAACCAACCAAATGACAGAAACCAGGCCTTCGTTTTGTCAGCGTTTCTCCGACCGCATGGAGTTCAAACGGCAGAATGAATCTCACATCGCAGAACTGCTTCACGGACCAGAAGCTGGTTTGGATTTCCAACTCCTCATCCGCAAGGCCACGCTTGGATGAAGCCCGTGGTGTGTCTGGGAACTCCACCACTGAGACATTGAGGTCGCCATTCATGTCGTTCAACATTGCCAACGCTCTTGCAATGTCATTCACCCTGGTCTTTGACTGCGCATTGGGGGCGTTCAAATCGGCGTAGCCAATCACGCAAGTGTTCTCCACAGTCGAGTTGTGACATTTTGCCTGGATAAATATGGGGATCTGAAGTTGGAACAAATATCCAATCTCAAAATTTCAAACATCAAAGGGGTCAATATATACAGAACCATCAAAAATCAGCAGCACAAAACTCAGAAGGTTGCGAGTTGCAATGAACCGTAGGTAGTCTGCCACTTCCTTGGCCATGTGCTCAACCTTGTCGATGGAAACAACGCGCAGCCACTTTGTCATGTATGCCTTCACAGCCTTTTCTCCAGCTGCCGCCTGCTCCTCCCGCCATCGCATCTCCAATCGATGCTGCATGGCTGCCAACTTGGCAGGGGCTGACTCCACATTGCGCAGCAACAGCTGGTCTCGCTTCAAAGCGGCCTTGAAATAAGACCACTTTGCGTTTCTCACTTCAATCCTGGAAGACTCAACCTCCATGCAAATGGTTTCCTCCTTCTTTTGGGCTTCAATCAGCATGTTTTGCTTACAGCATGGAAGCATGCTCACAGCGAAGGTTTTGGGCTGGATTTTCAAGAGGTCTGTAAACTCTTCATCTGAGACACTTCCGCTGCGGAGATTAGAGTCAATGGCAGCACAGCTGACCTTGGTTCCACAGTGGTCCTTGAGCTGAAACCACAAAGAAATGGTGTTGCGCAAGACGAGGAGGTCAGCTTCCTTTGCACGATAGCGCTTCTTGGCCTTGACATCAGTCACCAGGCTGGTGGCAATGGCAAAGTCTGCTTCAATCCTCTGAAAAAGAGCAAGATGAGCTTCAGGGGTCAAAGGAAGGCTCCAGTCCACGCTGATCCAAGTCTCTCCCTCCAAAGGCTGCATGTCAGGTAGCTGAGCTTCCTCCTTTGGAAGGGACACGGTGCTGCCCACAAAAAGCCATGGGAATTGCGCCAAGGCCTCGCCCCAAGGTCCCATAGCAAATGGGATGTCGTGCTGAGACTTCTGAAGCAAGGAAAGGACCTCTGGCGTTGACCCCTCCATCCAATGCTTGATCGCAGCTGCCTTCCTGTTGTCAATGGAAACAGAGCCGTTGCCCGAGGATCCATCCTTGGGGGGAAGCATTCAAAGTGTAAACAAAACCATAAACATCCATCAGGTCAAAACTTGTCGGGACACATCTTCTACCCACTCACAAACATATTTTATATCTGAGGTATCACCCAAGTGTCTGAAGTTTCGTAAGCCTTGACCAGTGGGTGCTCATTGTAGAGGGCCAGGGCAGCAGTGTAGGTCAAGCTAGCGTCGCTTTTCTGCAAGCCCTGCAGCATCAGTGCCCAATCAAATGAGGAGACAGGCTGCACCTGTGCATCAGCATTCTGTTTGATTATGCGACCAATCTGTCCTGACACTGCACTGGTATCATCCTCTGGCACCACCTTCAGAACTGAAGGAATCCGCAGCAAGCTCTCGAGCAAAGCTTTGACATTGGAGTTCTGCAAGGATTCATCACTGAAGCTGCTGGCAATGGCTAAAAGCCCAAGCAAGTTGATGAAGGCCGCGAGAGCCTTGTGGCAGCCGTCATCAATCCATAGCACGCCAATCTGGCTGTCAAGGTGGTCCTTGGGCTGGAGCTTGTGGTCCAAGCGCATTGAAAGCATCTCGCCCTGACATCAAAGCAGACAACATCTTATCAAGAGTGATGGAACTCATTGGAACTCCAACTTGCGACAAACTTGTGGCAATTCAATCTGACATAGGTGAGGGCCCCACGCTTCTACCAAGCACATATCACAAACAATACAGTCAATTGCTTATACTATCTTATATTGGTTTAATTTAGACTTCCAGCAACCTAGTTGGGGGGTGGGGCAGTCCAAAAGTTTGTCATGGGAAGGGGTCCCTCTGGTGGAATGTAACCAAGAGCAAATTAAATTCTTTTCAAGTTCTTGGTCCAAATTCCTCGCCGGCCCCCCCCAACCAAATTCCTCGCCGGACCCTCAAATCAATTTCCTCGCCGGACCCCCCAGATCAAATTCCTCGCCGGACCCTCAAACCAAATTCCTCGCCGGACCCTGAATTGAACTGCCTTGAACTTAGCAAAACATCCGGCGAGGAATTCACAAAACCCCTCCGGCGAGGAATCCAAGAACTGGACTCTGGAGAGGACCTCATGGAGGTCCTCTCCAGAGGTGGTTTATCAAATTCCTCGCCGGACAATATGTTCCAAAATCATTCACTACTTTTTTGGAACCCAAGGGAATCCCTCACCCCTTACACGCACATCAGATTTGTCTCCACAACTTATGGTTTGGAGGAAAGATGTCACTGGATAGTACCTCTGGGAGGTCCTCTCCAGTGCCATGACTACTCTACACAAAGCCCCACTCCAGTCTGGATAGGATTGCTAGGACCCACTCATGACTAGAAATCTAGCCTTACATGAATGAAAAGAGCACTGGTGACTACCTCCTAGAGGTCCTCCCCGCTTTGGTATCTTTGAGGCAAGGTATATTTTGGATAGAAATCACTTGAACGCTCTTCTCAAAACCCTAGAAGTTTTGGAACCCGCCTCCCGGAATCTGGACACTGCTATGCTGCGAGCAATAGCAACAACCTCGCTCATCCCCAGAAAAGACCTCCAGAAAGACTCTGGCTTCATGCTCCACTGTAGGATGCTGGTCTCTACGATCTCTCCAGGCATAGGAGGCCAAACCTGGGAAACAATGTTAGGCTGGGAAACAAGCCTGGCTGAGTTGCGAGGCAAATAGTTTAAATAAATAAAACAACATAAAAAAGAAAGAGCTAGGCCTAGCCTAGAAGCATTCAGCTTGCAAAAGATAGCTTCAAACTGGTTCTTGTTGTCCAGAAGTCCCATTCGGTAACAAAGATGAGCGGTTTGGTCGACTAGGTCAGAAGGTTTCTCCCAAGCACGAACAGCAACCTCCTGGAAGGTGCCCCCATGCTCAACTGGCCAAGGGCGTAACGAAGAGGAACTAACATCAGCCTTAGCCTGGTGCCTCATACCGTACAAGTCTCCGATCCATTGGTCCAAGGCCTGCTGAACCTCGTTCAGACTCTCCCTTGTGGTGGCGGAGGCAACCTTCGTTGTTCTAGCCCTTTTTTTGGGCGGCATGGCAGGGACAAACCAAGCTTGAGAAGCGTCGTGCTTTCAAAGGGTGCTTCAAAGAGCGGGGGCTTAGACAAGTTTAGAAAAATGCTTGGCTATCCATTCCTCTCGTTTGCACTCTGTACCAATTGAAAGACTGGCAGCGTGAGACTTTTTTCTGACAGTGCGCAATCCCACTGACTTATCCCACTGACCTATTGGATGGCAGGCGAACATGACTGGACAAAAAGCTGATTTCAGATGTTTAAGTCTGACCCACTCTTCCAAGGAACTAGGGGCCACAGCTAAACTGCTTTATCATTGGCTACTTGCAGTCAAGTTCTTTAGAAAACATCTCAGGGATCACTGCTCGGGCACCACTCCGAGAGCAAAGATAGGAATGCCGCGAGGATCACAGGAGCTGAGAACCTCGTGGCCGGCCACTATACTAGTGGCAATCAACAAAGCAAAAGATATGAACACAATTATATATCTACTAGATGATGTTTCTCGGCGACTACAAATCATGCCATGCATGTCATTGAATTGTTTAGAGCTCCCCTTGTAGACACGCTTTGCACGGTTGTTGATTTTTGACCTGGGAGTTCTAATTATTCTCAATTCTCCTGCCAAAGAACGAATTTCCAGTGAAGGATTTGACCAAGCGTTCTGACAGCGTGTTCATGTGCAACTTGTAGTACTCCTCTAAGCCGATGCCTTGCAGGAGAACCGTTTCCTCGGCAGGCTAGAAAGGCTTGGCAACTCAGGGAGAAGGGCTGGATGACTCTGGATTCATGTTGGATAATTTAGATAATTCTTGGAAGTGCTTTGGAACTACTCGGGTTGCAGCCTTTGCTGAGATTGGGCGCCACTGCTTGCTCAAGATGCATTTTCCCTTCGGTATCAAGCATGGAGCGATCGCCAAGTTAGAACGACAGAATTGCCCACGGAAGAAATTCTGATCCTTGGATTGTTTTTGAATCCCGGAAGCGGTCCAGTTGAAAACAAAACAACATCTTGTAGTGTCAATGCTGTGCTTTTTCAAAACCCTGAGTTGCCTACTACTTGGATGACCACCTCTTCTTGCCAGACATCAATGCCATAGGTGACCCACAAATCAGTGCATGCAACCGCCAAAATGGACAGCTCCCGCTCAGGTAGCTGAAGGCTTGGCAACTCCTTCAAGTCTTTCAAGGCTTGCTGCGTGTAAGCCTAGGGGATTGGATCGTAAGATGGGAATGCACAGCTTTTTTGTTTGGAACATTTGAGGTTTGCATACAGATAGGCCCAATTAAATAGCAACAGTTCATACAAGAAGCCGGTCCAATTTCATCAGCTTTGCGCTTGAAATCATCTTTCCATTTTGGAGGTGGCTGATTTGGCCGCTTGGATGTAGGAGGTTTGCGTAAGGGCATGTCTGGTCCGGAACGATCTAGACACATGGACAGGCTGCATGGCTTCAACTTGAAGGAATCCATACTCGTGCGAAAACGAGTCTCAAAGGCGTCATTGGTCCCAGACTCATCCATCGCAATGAAGGCCATGTATGTCCTACCCCGGGACTGAGGGATTCCGTAGGATGCCGTGTTGTAAACACCAAAGCTTGCAAGGTATCCCAGTCGGGTGAGTTTGTTCACAACCACGTCAACTGGGCGCTGTCCACCATCAACCTCACGCTTGTGCGTAAAAGACTTCACATTCTCTAGTAGGATCAGTGATGGCTTCTGTTTCTTCACGTAACTCTGCACACAGTAAAACCCATTTCCACTGGCGCATGTCTTGTCGTTGATGGATCCTGGGGTCACCGTCAACATGGAGATGGAGACGCATGGGAAGCCGGACACAAGCAGGTCGACCTGAGGGAGCGAGAAAACATGCCATATCACCACGTCGACCCGGGAGTGGAAGAAGGAGATCCTCACTAAACAACAACATGTTTTGTTTGGACTGGCTCCTGACCTCTGGTACTGGCATGAATGGATGGCCCAACTTCTTGAAGTCCCTGGCACGACCCTTTGCAACATCGACCATATCTGTGAAGATGTGGCAAGCATCAGGAAAAGCCCGGTAAAGAAATTCAAGCTTGTTGGTATCGTTCTCACATAGGAAAGTATGTTCAACCTTGGAACGCATAGGGCGAAGGCCACATCAACATAAATCAACAAGTTTTAAAACAAGTTTCAAAACCCCAACAGTTGATTCCAGACTAGATTACATTACACGTTCTTCTTTTTCCCACACCGGGTAGCCGTGATGGACAGCTCTGGGAATAACTCATTCCATAGTTTTTCAAAAGCTTCAGACACCATCTCTTGCACCCCAAGACCTGAACAGATAGTGCCAATCCGAAGCTTCCCATCCTTCCGGGCCCGTACGCATTGGGCCATGCGCTGCAGGCCGCGACGCAGTGACTCAAAGCGCTGGTCCTTCATGGCTCTCTCCATGAAGGTTTCAACCTTGGAAGGGCAGGAGCCTGGCTTCCATCTATCTATTAGTATCCATATCTTCTCATAATCCTGGTTATACCATCATGTATTAAAATATATCTCTTTGACTCCTTATATAATCTCCCCCTTTTATCTATCCATCAGTGTTGCATTTTCATTTCTTGCTGACATGAGACCCCAATGGAAAGATCTGGTGGGAAATCCGGGAGATCATTAGCCTCATTGGTTCCTTGTTCTTGTTCACATTCCGATTCTTCCATCACTTCATCCATGGCAGCCGGTGCGTCCTGGGCCTTGTCCATGTCCTTTGGAGCCTCCGCTTCAGATTCCTCAAAGATGTGGCCTCCAGATTCCTAGGCATGAGGGTCTCAAATCTTCTCAGTGACTATAGGTTCTCAGTTGGGCGCTCATTGGTTGTCATTGCATTTGAAATGTTTTTGACTGATACCGATGACTCTTAGGTGACTTGAGCTGATACCTTCATTCACTTGACTTGAGCAAGAAGCACCATCAAAGCCGAGAAACTACTGGCTCTTCATTGTCAGAGCTCTGGAACATGTTCTCGTCAGGCTCGGGCTCCGCTGTCCTGGATGAGCTGTCCAGTCAGTTTCTTGGCATACTGAAAGCATGTGAGAGGTGAGATGTGAGATATTGTCAGCCAGCCAGCCTTTTTTCTCAAAGCACTGAGCGATCTCCGGTGAAACCAACATATGGGTCAAGCTTCATCTGTGATTGGGTCTGGATTATCCTCCGCTGAACTTTCCCCAGAGTCAATCGCCCCAGGGTCCAAATCAAAAATTCTTTTCCGGGCTGGGGGGCACATAAATGCCAGCGTTCATGTTGAGGACACCATCCTGTTTCCATGAATGGTTCAAGAAGCTGTACATTGCAGGCTTTGGCCGCTTGACCAAAGAGCCAAAAGCCCAAGCAGTTAAATAGTCATGGGCAGATTGGCTGATATCTCCATGATTGAGGCAAGCTCTTGCCTCTCTGCGGATTCTACCTTTTACTTTGTCTGATATCACACGCCTAGCTGCAACACCAGTGGGTCTCTGGATGCCTCGGCGCATTTCTGCAGCCGTGGCTTCAGGGACCAAAGCAAAAATTTGCAAGATCTCATTGTCGGCCAGCCACCGTTTTGTGATGAGCATGACATCCCCGCCAGCCCTTGGTGTCCGGGTGAAATCATTGAATGATGAGCAGGTGTCAAGTGTAGCTTGGCCAATGTCAGAACGGAGGGTGAACCGCATGTAGTGAACTCTACCTTCAGGGCTCAGGATTACACATGCTTCCCCATGGCCAAAAAAAAGAAACAATAAGTTAATATGATGTCAGCTGTTTTGAAGGGTTCGCATTCCTTGCAACCAGGCTACGAAGTCCCTTGACCTTTATTGCTAATTGAGCTCCCCACTTTTTCCATTCAGTTGTTTCGTCCAACTTGTACGCCCACGCTCTGGTTTTGTGAAGCGTCCGAGGTTTCTTCCCATCTCGGGCAGAGGCAGCAGGCCGGGCGGTCAGGTTGTTAATGTGATCTATGGCTTCATCCGGGGTATCAAAAGAGACGCCAGCCAAGAGTTTCGCAATTTGCCCTATGACCTGGTCACAGTCATCATGACCTGAGATGTCTTTTTTTCAATGACCAAGACCGTATAAGCCCAACAAAGAAATATGATAAATACCAAAACAAAACAAAAGGTTTCCTATCAAACCACAAAGAGAAACTGTGGCCAGTCCTCAGGAATCCCAACTGTACGAACCGGTAAACTGTCATTGTGACCAGCAAACATGCCCATGACATGATGTATTGGTTCTTCTGCTCTCGAAAGCAGTTGTCGGCCTGCAAATGCAGGCCGGCTGGTAATCCACCATACTCATGGTAAGCATTGTTGATGCACCTTGCCATGATCTCTGTTTGGGATTCCGAATTCTTTTTCATATCCTCATCCCCCACGGCCATCTCAATCATGTGCCCGTGTAGCCAGCACACCGTGAGGTGTAGTGTTGGCCGGTAGAGCTTCTCAAATGTTTTGGAAGCCCGGTGTTTGTAACCAAGCCGAGGGGTCTTCAACTTCGACTGGTCCATTCCATCAATGCACAAGGCATTGATGGAGCTCTCCAACAGCTGCATTGTTAGCCTCAGTATTGAAGCCGCTCCATATTTAGTTGATAAACACCTCACAGACAGACAAAATGGTGGGTGACCTGAAAAAAATACTACCTGGACCATCAAATGGGCGTCCAATGCAGACTGCTAAGTAGACAAAGGGTAGTCCATTGGACACCCATTGGATGGTCCTGGCACACTCCTTCCATGGCTAATTAGACATGAGCCACTTATTCACCAAGTGAATCTGGGTGGAGAAGAAGCTTTGGCTGAGAGAGCGGACAGCCCAATAGAACTGTCTGTCCAGCCACTGTGAAAGTAAGTGGCCGGAATATTGCCTTTGAAGCCTTGTTTTTTCATCAGCAGTGCGTGCCTGACCAATGGACTGTTTGTACTTGGAGCAAGAATCACACTGGGCATGCTCTGCCACCCTTAGAAGTTTGGTAGCGACCAAGAAGAGGGTTCCAAAGAAAGGTACCAAGTCAAACTGAAACCGTCTACTTCCGAAATGATGTTTAAAACTACCACATATAATCATGGCACTCTCTGAAGCGGAGGTGCTTGGAGCCATATACTTTGTTGAATGTACGTGCAAATGTTGCTAGAGAGGCTGGTTGATGCCCATGATAGCTCTCAAATGCCACATACTCCCAAAACAGATCGATCACCTGCCCGTGAGGCAAGTACCGGCGTGGACCGTGCATGGTACCAGGCCCAGAGGGCTGTGTGGTTAGACTGGCATACGCTTGGTCAATGTTCTGGAAAAAATTGGTGATGTATCTCTGCTGGAAATCCTCATCCCTAGAAGCGTCAAGTTGGGAAAGCGGCATCTCGAACTTATCCGGCATCACTTCGGCAACCGAGTGATAGATGATCCACAGAAACATCAAGCACCGTGGCCACTTCACATTCTGCTTGCTTGCGGCCTCGAGAGAGTAGCCCAGCGTAGGGTGACGAACATGGCTAGGCCGATTCTTGTTTGTATACACTGCATCCCCTGCCCGGATCCTGTTGATGATGCTACTCCCAACGCCCATCAGTCGCTTATGGGATTGCGTGCACACAGGAAGCCCCAAGATCTCCAAACCCACTGGTTTCCTGGATCTGTACCCCCTGATGGGTGGAGATTGCTTCTCATCACCTGAACTCATGAACACTTGAAGATCCTCTTCACCAGAACTATGAAACACCTCACTGTCAGAAGCGTGCAGGATCTCATCATCGCTGGCCAGAAGAACCTCCTCGTCTTTATCTGGCTGCTCTGCAGGCATCCCCGGGACACGGCGACGAGTGTGTTGAACGTTGTAGGTTTCCACCACCCACAGTTCCTATGCTTTTGCTTGGGGGTATTACAGGATGTTACAGGGAAGGCGATCTTTATCTCTTTCTATTGGGGGACCAAACAGAAAACACAGCAAAAACAATTGAGTTGTTGATCTAGCCGTCCTTGTCCCTAGGGTCCATCGCGTTGAAGTCTTCCCTGAGCTTCTTCAATTTGTTGATGTCATGCTTGAACTGTGAAAAGCAAGCTCTGCGAGAGCAGGTGCATTCTCTGGTTACAAGACTTACCAAATCAATTGATCGGGATGAGCATGAAGCTCTGCTCTGTGTCTTCAGCGGTCGGGTCGCATCATCGCTAGCACCATCATCCGATTCAAGAAGCATGGTGGCTTGGCTAGGAGCTCTTGAGCCCAAAGGAAACATTGGGTTTTCCACTCGGCAGGGTTTAGGAAGTTCCCTCATTTCTGATGAAGCAAACCCCGGTCCTCCTTGAAGCTGGCCGCTTGTTTGCAGCCGGCCGCTTTGCCGCCGCAGGCCTCTTGCGAGTCGGCATGGCTGCCGGCTACCTTGTTTGAGCTGGATGCCTGCTGCTGGTGGCAATCTTTCACGATCCACCTTGCTTGCATAAGGGGCCGGGTTTGTAAAGAGATATAAATAGATAATACAGCCCCAAGCAGAAGAAACCAAGTCACATGAATGAACCAAGTGAGTTGCAAAGCCCTTTATAGTAATTTAATGTAAATTGAATCATGGTTCTCTTTTTCAGTGCTTACCAGTTCATGCCCAAACATCCATCCAAGTCCAAGTCATGAACCATATGAACGCCACGATCCAGTCTTGATCACACCCTGACCAACGCCACGCATTCATTGAGGATGTATAGCGCTTTGATGCGCGACGCTCCAACGAACGTGGGTCGCCCGAACGCCATCGTCCTCTCAGGGCTCTCGAAGCCATTTGGGATGCTTGGCGGGGGAAGGTGGGCGCTGTCGGCAGGTGGTAACGAAAAGAACTTTGAACAAAGGAAATCCAAGGAATATGCACCTGTGGTGAAAGTTGCTACTTTAATATTAATTACTATAATTGTTTGCTTTGAGAAAATGACTGTCACCATCAATTCAGCAAAAGCGGTTTGTTACACTTCACTCTAGCGGGATGTTTTTTGGGAGGCCTGACAGTGGGACCGTTGATATCATCCTGGAGCATGGGGCTCTCCTCCCAGAAATCCAATCACCCCATTTGTCGTCGGGCTGGCGTCCATGGACAAAACTTGGAGACCGCAAGGCCGCTGGTGGATCCCCGAAAGCCATCCCCATGCATGAAAAGCAACCATTTAGTGCTAGCTTTCGTCACCAACCCCCGACCTCAAGTTTGTCCTGTGGCCATTGTTTAGCTGTTGGATGGAACGGGTATCATATGATATCATTGATATCATCCATCGTTGATAGCAACAGTGTGCTGCTGGAGTTGTTTCCATTCTTGGAGGGGGTTTGAAAAGGATGCCTGGTCTGCGCATGGGCTGGCTCATCATGGAGAATCGTGCCTTGGGCTGCACCTTTTGAGCACCTTTTGGAAGTTGAAGCAACGCATGTATCGTCCAAACTTGATGCCTGGCATCACATGCTAAGTTTAGAGGGTCCAACCCGGTGTGCCATCGGAAAATCCGCTTCGATTCGATCCCATGCATGATGCGCGCGTTCAGAAATGCATTCAAACCCTTGGAGTCAGAACTCCAGACCGACTGGAACATGACTCCCAAACTGGGAGATTGGACCACCATTGAATCGACACTTGGGTGCTTGAATTGTTTCTGTATCCGTTATCCCTCCGCTGCTTTCTTTTGCATAAATAAACTCATATATGGACATGGAGGCTCGCGAGTGAGGTGCTCATTTTGAGAAGGTCATCGCCCTTCGCGACTACACCACCCTTTGCATGCCGGTGCATAGTGAGATCTTGTCCATCATCACCTTGCGGACGCCTGGATTTCAACATGTTTCAGCCAGAAGATCTGACCTATTTCACCCACTCATGAATTTATATAAATTTTAGACCGTACTGTTGTAGTAGGGAATCCACATCCGGAACGTTTGTGGCGAGTGCTAACGTTTGTGTGACTGATTTCTTTTTGTGGAGATCCCCGGACGCAGAAAAGAGAGAGCCGTTATATCAACATCCTTGGATTTGCACGCAGACAGAGAGACAGACAGACATAGAGAGAGAGAGGGAGATGTATATAGAGCTCGCAAAGAAAGCTTAGGAATGCCGCAAGCTTCTTGAGACGGAACCAGGCGATTTGCAAAGAGAACTACCGGATCCTCCAGGTGGACGTCGGACGTGGACGTCGGACGTGGCCTGGGACGCCATGAATTCCACCCCGATGGCATGGAGGTCCATCGGCATGGACGGTAGGTCGATGTGCCATCGAAGCTCCGTTCACCTTAAAGTACACACACATCAGGGTATGGAGATCCTTTTGATCAGCTGGGTGCATTAGGGGAGAGAAAGCTTTTGACCTTCAGGGGGTTACCCAGGCAGTTCCGCCCTCCGCGGTCGCGTCCGGCCGCGTGGACCCGGCCGCGGTCGATCGCTAAAGCGCACTGAGTCACGTTGCGCAGGACTTCTTGCTGAGAATGCCGGACTGGTTCTACCCCTTGGAGCAGCAGCACCAGTCCCTTAGAGAGAGCATGTCTAGACATTTTCATCATTGAATGACTAGTGTCTATAGACATTAATTGAATGACGTATATACTAGATCTCAAGTCGGAATTCACACACGTAGAGTTCCCCAGTTTGAGACGACTGATTCAGGCCGGTCCGGGTTTAGGCCCTGTTTCAGTCAACGCACGTTTGGAATGATCCCAAGTCCAGTCTCAGACCTTTTCCAATGGACATTGCAATCCTTCTTTGAGACCGGTCATTGGTGTTTCAGCCGAGTCTCTGTGCAGGGTGTTTGGGATGTCTCCCCTCTTCAATTGGCTCAAGAACATAGGACCCTGAGACCGAGCGCACCGGGTTCGAACCAGTTTGGAGCGCACCGGGTTCGAGCCGTGGAGCACATCGCCAAGGTGCACCCTGGAGTGGTGTGCCTCCACCGTTTTCCCGCGGCTCAAGATGCCCGGCAAACTGCAGGGTCAACTCCTGGCACAGCTCAGTACGCCTACGTTGCTGGCGGAGCACTTGGCGTCACGTGGCGGGTGCGCATGTGGAGACAAACAATGGCAGCTGGAATGTTGAATTTTCTGATTTTTGAAGGATCAAACCCACTTCAGCTCGAAGATCTCCATCCTCAGGCTTAATCAGTATAGTGACAAAGCCACAGATAGAATATGAACTAATTCCCAAAAGCTAATTAGTCACGTATTCTATGTGCTGTCAGCCACTTTGCCTGTTCCTACAGCAGATAGAATATGGGTTAGAACGTGAAAAGGGAAGTAGCAGATAGAATATGATATATTATATTATATTATATTATATTATTTATGATATGACACAAGTGTTATTATATGAATTATGTGTGGTGAAATCTGCAGCAAAACTCATGCACGAAACATATCCCTGCAAGTCCGAAGTGCAAGTTTAACGAGGTCATCTGAGAACGATCAAGTTTTACGAGGTCATCGCGTTTGTCGGAAGAACCGCCCTTATGTCATGACCACACTGGCGTCGCCACCAGAGTTGTATGTGAACCTTCACATGTTCACTGCATATTCTGTAGTCCTAGCTGCGGTTCTTGGCTTAGCCGCTTGCCATCAGAAGATGCTAAAACTGCCAGTCCTTGCCATGTCATCGTCGCCACACCAGATCCATATCGATCCTGGAAAACAATTTTAGAGCAAGTCCAGTTCCACTCATGCTAGTGATGCTAGCACGGTTTTTGGCTTAGCCACTTGCCATCCAACTGCAAATTCGTGGTTCCTAGCTGCGGTTCTTGGCTTGGCCGCATGCCATCCAAATTCACAACAAGAAGATGCTGCAGAATAACCAACCTGAATGGTACTATGCAATCAGAGAGCCAAACTGTCCTGCGCATGCGTGCCTTTGCACACTTCAAGCGGAGCCTCGCAATCTTGGCCAGGAACTTTTCCATGTGTCTGCCAGAGATTGCACATGACAGCTTCTTGATCATCCCGATGGTGTCTTCTTCTGAGAAGCAATGCGAGAACCTCGAGTTCAGTCCTGAGATGCTCAAATCCAGGGAGCAAAGAACAGGTTAATTGACCCAAAAGACCACAGAAACCTCTTCCCAAAAGACCAGTGAAGCCTCTTTGAACCTGGAATTACCAGCTCAAACCTGCAAATCAAGTTCTCCTCTAGAGGAAAGACCAGTCAATGTCATCCAAAGACACACTCAGCCAAGAATCGCTCTCTCTTGGTGCGAGCCAAAACGTGGCAGAACATGTGTGCCTTTGGCTTCAAGAACCAGCACTGCAGCCCCATCCTCACAACTGACTCAACAATGGCGAAGGGACCTTGAGGTCTCAAATGGCCCTTCAGGTCTCAAGGGGCCGTTGAAGTCTTTAAGATAAAGGGAAATTCGACGCCCCCCTCAACGGAAGTCCTGTTG